TCTCGCTCTTGCTCAGGCTGGTTTCGAACTCGTGAGCTCAAACAATCCGCCCGCCTCGGCCTCCCGGAGAGCTAGCATTACAGGCGCGAGCCACTGCGCCCGGCCTGACCATTCTTGAATAACTATTTCTTCCATATAAACTTTCAGCTTATTTTGTACAATTCCATAAATATTTATACAGATTTTGGTTTGAGTTATACTATATCACATTTATATGTGAAATTTGAAAGAATTGGCATTTTATATTAACTCCAAGAACAGAGTATATTTTCTTTTCAGATATTATTTTAGCTCTCAAGATTTTTACAAATGTGGATCCTGTGCCTTTCTTATTTACTTATTTACTTATTATTTACTCAAGTATTTTATGTTTTTGTCATTAATATGAATATAATATTACTTCCTCCTATTTTCAAGATGGTTATTGATAGTAGAAAAACACCTGTGATTGTTTTTTTGTGTGTCAACTTGACCAGGTTATGGGATGACCAGATAGCTGGTAAGACATTTTTGGGTGTGTCTGCCATGGAGTTTCTAGAAAAGGTTAGTATTTCAGTCAGTAGACTAAGTAAAGAAGATGGCATAATCCAATTCACTGAGGGCTTGAATAGAAAGAAGCAGAGGAAGGGCAAATTCTGTCTTTCTTGAGCTGGGAAATCGCTCTTTTCCTGCCCTGGACATCAGTGCTCCTGATTCTCCGGCCTGTGGACTTTGGGACTTACGCCAGCAGGCCCCCTGTGCCCCAACCTTGCCTGGCAGCCTTTGGCCTTGGACTGAATTACACCCCTGGCTTTTCTGGTTCTCCAGCTGCCAGACAGCATATCATGGGATTTCTCAGCTTCCATAATCCTGTAAGTAAATTCCCATGATGTATCTCCTCTTATCTATTTGGTGTCTGCCTACCTATATATATATATCCCATTGATTCTGTTTCTCTGGAGAACCTGACAAAACACCTTACTAAATTTCCTTATAAATTACTGTAGTCTTAAAAAATTTATTTTATTATGATGTAGTAGACCACAAAAAATTATATGTGGCATAGATATAAGCCATTAAGTATAATAATGACATGTAAACCCAACACCCATCTTAGTAAGAGACATTATCCATACAGTTAAACAGCCCTTTGTACCACTCCCTCAGTCCACACCTGT